ACACACACACACACACACACACACACACACACACACACACACACACACACATACTATTCTATCTCCCGTATACACCTTGTGTTTGTCCCCATGTTATGTGTTAGTATTAATAATTCATCAAGGGATTAGGGAGGGGATGAAGGTATGAGAAAGAGAATAAGGGAAGAAGTTATAGAGAGAGAGATAGACAGATAAAATGAAAAAGACAGAACAAGAGAGAGGAACAGAGAGAGGGGGAGAGAGAGACAGAGACAGAGAGACAGAGAAAGAGAGACAGAGAAAGAGAGACAGAGAAAGAGAAACAGAGAAAGAGAGACAGAGAGACCAATAGAGTGAAGAGAAACAGAGTAGAAAACAGAGAAAGCGTGACACATTGATATGATACAATGACATAATTAACTTCGTGTGACAGAAGTTGGCAACGGCCCACTGTCAATTTCTTCTAGTGACAGGTCAACAAAGTATATTGTTGGTGTCACAAGCAATCCGTTTAAGCCCGTTTGGATACTTTTTCCATCTGAGACAAAAAACTAGTTTTTGTTACATTGCTCCTTTCAGAAATCATCATGAAGAGCAAGAAGATTGTGAGCCTTGACCGCAGCATTAAACTGCATTTCGGTGACGTGGAAAGGTGTCTTTGATAGAGCTTAAGGAGGGTGTAAAATTCGAAAATTCTCAAAATTTGGACTTAGGTGGATTGTTAGTGACAGCGACGATATTTTTTACTGTATCCAATCTCACTTTGTTTCTCACTTTCACATGGCACAGATAAGAGCAAGAGTTAACAATGGTGCAAAATATCTAGGGGTTGGGGTCCTCTCTACACATAATATTGCTCTATAGAACTGAGTATCTCGCAGCATGAGAGAGAGAGAGAGAGTGTGAGAGAGAGAGACAAAGAGAGTGTGAGAGAGAGAGAGTGTGAGAGAGAGAGAGTGTGAGAGAGAGAGAGAGTGTGAGAGAGAGAGAGAAAGAAAGAGAGAAACAGAGACAGAGAGAGAGAGAGAGAGAGAATCCATAATGGCTATTTTGGAAAACTCATTATTAACCCAGTAAGAAAACCGGAGGGAAAATATTGGGTGACACATACATGATATTATTATTATACGCACGTACACCGACACACTTGCACCCGCACACACTCTCCCTCTCCCTCTCTCTCTCTCTTGATCTCTGTACCCCCACCCCCTCTCTCTCTCTCGCTCTCTCTTTCTCTCCCTCTCTCAGACACACACACACATTATGCCCCAAGGACATAC